GAGATTTACTTAACCAAAAAACATTTTATCTATGTTTTGGAAAGCTCTCGAGATAAGCTATAAGAATATGCAATGAAAAATGAGGTGTTCTATTTAAAAAATTTAAAGTAATCTTACCCTGTCTTTAGCAATGCCACCCAAGGTCAAAATGATAAGATCAATAAATAGATGTTTTTAAACCCTACAACTTTTGTCTGAAACATTTTTCTGTAAAACTTATATTTTCCATAATATTCAGGTGTCCCGGTACTTTTGGACATTCTGTATAATACTATTTTAACGAACAAATAGCTAGTAGTTTTTTGTATTATTTTTTATTTAATAACAAAAAATTAGAGAATATTTTGCTCTTTTTTTAGTTTTTATTAGAAAAAAGACTATTAAATAGAGTAAATAAGATATAAGAGAAAGTAATAAAATAAACATAAGTACATTAAGATTTATAATAATCTTATATTATTTATCTAATATAGATTATGTTTTTACCAGATATTCAATACTGATTTAGTTTGGCAGATACTTTATACGAGAGATATAAGATCTAATATTAGCTTAAAAGAAAAGGAAAAGATTATAGTTTACGGTTGGAAGCAATTGTATAAAGACAAACAAATGCAGACATCAATCAAAGATCAAAGAGTATGAAATATAATTAGTGGAAATAATTAACAAAAATATAATTTATATTTAATAAATAAAAAATATGCAATAAATATGTTTTTCAGAATCTTCGAATTCCGTCATCAATTACCAATAATGCAAAAATTAATAGATTAATAAAACCGATCAACGATACATCAAAATCTGTCTCGAACAAAACATCAATTGTTAATATCATGATGAAGAAACAATCAGAATCTTCGATGGCGGATCTTGTAACAATCCCGCTTTCCAAAATAATGTCCGATACTCGATTTCGCACAAAGAACGAGAAACCGTTTCTGCAAAAAAAGGATATAAAAGATACTAGTTCTACATTCAACATGAATGAGAAGAATGTCAAAAAAGATCTCATTACATCAAAAACGACAACAAAACAAGAAACTGGAAGTGTTTCTAAACGTAACGAAATATCTGACAAACAAATAAATCAAATGATAAAATCAGAAAAATACTCGAATAAAATCAATATTAATACAAAATTAATGAAATCAACGACATCAACACAAGAAAGTAAATTAAAATTTAAGACACAAACTGCTTCTAAAACGTCTATTTCCAAAAACATTGTAGAAAATATAAAATCATCTCCAGTATTAATACAAAATTCGCACAGCAAGTCTCGATCAAAAGTAAAGAACAAATCTAAAAAGAAAGTAATTGCGACCAAATCTGAAACATTTAACACCGATAAAGAGTTGCCCGAGAAACCTTTCATTGTCGGAAACGACAGGATCGACCTGGCTGACTTAATCGAAGCAAGCTTGAAGAACATTCGAAGTCCGCGAAGTATATTCAATTATGGGTTCAGCAATGTGCAACAATCAAAGAAAACAAGGGATATTTTGGATATTAGAAGTAAAATTCAGAATATTGATAAGTTTAAACAATTAAAGCCTACCGGAAGCAGTGTCATCACGAATAACTTTTCCCATAAAATAATTCGGGATGACGGAGTTCTGGAGAAGTTTTTAGAAAAATCTGAATCATTTAGCGAAGCATCTCATGAATCTCTTATGAATGATAAAAGACTTTTACCAGAAGGGGACAGTAAATCTTTTTCATTTTCTGAGAAATATATAAAGGCTCGAGAAGAACTTCGAAAATCTTTAGACTGGAAACAAAATAATTCTTCTCAAGATCGGTGGGATCCATATCCAGATACAAGTTTTCAAAATAAATCAGTTATAAGTTCCACGAAAATTGATAACAATAATGAAAAATTCTCTCTTCCTAAGAGACCATTACAACTTCCTTTCTAAAAGCATACACTTCGAACGGTTTGGAGAATAGAAAGGAATAAAGAAGATGTAGTCCGAAGAGATTAAATAAAATTTATAAAGATTACAAAGATATTAAAAAAGATAAATAAAAAATAATTAGCAAAGATTTCTCATATAATTTTAAGAATTCAGAAAATTTTGCACGTTATATGTTACCAATAATATAAACAATAATTTTAGAATAACTGTTAAAAATAAAAATATAAATTTTTATAGTATAATTTCAAAATTATTATAAAATATAACACATAAACAAATCAATTATTCTCTATATAATAATTCTATGTGATACTTCTTTTCAAATAAGACGTTCGCAAATCTCAGAATAAATAAATTTATTATTTTGTAAAGTAATAACCATAATGTATTTTTTATTATATAATAACTATAATGTATTTTTTTATTATATAGATGAGAGTCCCCTATTGTGAGTTTAGTTTGTGTAATTGCCGGGCAGAATTTGAAGATGTAATAGGTCATTTTAAAAGGAATTTAATATGCTTTAAGATACTAAAATGGAAAATCTAATTTAATATTTTTTTTCTTGAAAATTAAAAAAAAGTTTTATGCAAAATCGAAAAAGTGTGCTTTTAATATGAGATACCCCGAGAAATCGCTAATAAATGCAGAAAAAAAACAGTATTACAATTAGAAAACTTTATTTAAATATAATTATAAAATATAAATATTATTTACATGAGCTTCAGACCACCGAGGTATGTGATAACATTCACCTCAATAACATTAAGTACATTAAAAACAGTTTAACGCATTTTTTCAGGCCGCGTAAAT